AAAAATTATATCAAAATACCCTAAACCTGTCAAAACCTGCTAATGTTCACTGTAAGGAAGTATTGAAAATTTTTTTTGTGAAGTCGGTGCTAATACGAAAATGTTCAAATCATCCGATGAACCACCGTCTGCCAACTAAACTTTTTACGTCTATGCATAGGTTCTCGCAATGCATAGGGTCAGTAACTGTGTACACATGTAACAGGGGGTCAGTAACTGTGTACACATGTTGTAGGGGGTCAGCAACTGTGTACACATGTAACAGGGGGTCAGCAACTGTGTACACATGTAACAGGGGGTCAGTAACTGTGTACACATGTAACAGGGGGTCATCACATTTGTACACATATAACAGGGGGTCAGCAACTTGTACACATGTAACAGGGGTCAGCATATCTGTACACATGTAAGGGGGGTCAGTAACTGTGTACACATGTAACAGGGGTCAGCATATCTGTACACATGTAACAGGGGTCAGTAACTCTGTACACATGTAACAGGGGTCAGCAACTTGTACACATGTAACAGGGGGTCAGCACATTTGTTCACATGTTACAGGGGGTCAGCAACTTGTACACATGTAATAGGGGTCAGCACATGTGTACACATGTAACGGGGGTCAGCATCTTGTACACATGTAACAGGGGTCAGCAACTTGTACACATGTAACAGGGGGTCAGTACCTTTCTACACATGTAACAGGGATCAGTACCTTTCTACACATGTAACAGGGGGTCAGCAACTTGTACACATGTAACAGGGGTCAGCAACTTGTACACATGTAACAGGGGGTCAGTACCTTTCTACACATGTAACAGGGATCAGTACCTTTCTACACATGTAACAGGGGGTCAGCAACTTGTACACATGTAACAGGGGATCAGTACCTTTCTACACATGTAACAGGGGTCAGTACCTTTCTACACAGGTAACAGGGGGGTCAGCAACTTCTACACATGTAACAGGGGGTAAGCACATTTGTACACATGTAACGGGGGTAAGCACATTTGTACACATGTAACAGGGGGTCATCAACTTGTACACATGTAACAGGGGTCAGCACATTTGTACACTTGTAACAGGGGGTCAGCAACTTGTACACATGTAACAGGGGGTCAGCACATTTGTACACATGTAACAGGGGGTCAGCAACTTGTACACATATAACAGGGGGTAAGCACATTTGTACACATGTAACGCGGGTCAGCACATTCGTACACATGTAACAGGGGGTCAGCAATTTATACACATGTAACAGGGGGTCAGCAACTTGTATCCATGTAACAGGGGGTCAGCACATTTGTACACATGTAACAGGGGGTCAGCACATTTGTACACATATACAGGGGGTCAGCAACTTGTACACATGTAACAGGAGTCAGTAACTTCTACACATTTAACAGGGGTCAGTACCTTTCTACACGTGTAACAGGGGGTCAGCACATTTGTACACATATACAGGGGGTCAGCAACTTGTACACATGTAACAGGAGTCAGTAACTTCTACACGTGTAACAGGGGTCAGTACCTTTCTACACGTGTAACAGGGGGTCAGGAACATGCACACATGTAACAGGGGTCAGCAACTTGTACACATGTAACAGGGGTCGGCAACTTGTACACATGTAACAGGGGTCAGCAAGTTGTACACATGTAACAGGGGTCGGCAACTTGTACACATGTTACAGGGGTCGGCAACTTGTACACATGTAACAGGGGTCGGCAACTTGTACACATGTAACAGGGGTCAGCAACTTGTACACATGTAACAGGGGTCGGCAACTTGTACACATGTAACAGGGGTCGGCAACTTGTACACATGTAACAGGGGTCAGCAAGTTGTACACATGTAACAGGGGGCCAGCAACTGTGTACACGTGTAACTGGGGGTCAGCAACTGTGTACACATGTAACGGGGTCAGCAACTGTGTACACATGTAACAGGGGGTCAGCAACTTGTACACATGTAACAGGGGGTCAGCAACTGTGTACTTATGTAACAGGGGTCAGAAACTGTGTACACGTGTAACAGGGGGCCAGCAACTGTGTACACGTGTAACAGGGGGTCAGCAACTGTGTACACTTGTAACGGGGTCAGCAACTGTGTACATATGTAACAGGGGGTCAGCAACTTGTACACGTGTAACATGGGGTCAGCAACTGTGTACACGTGTGACAGGGGGTTAGCAACTGTGTACACATGTAACAGGGGTCAGTACCTTTCTACACGTGTAACAAGGGGTCAGCAACTTGTACACATATAACAGGGGTCAGCAACTTGTACACATGTAACAGGGGTCAGCAACTTGTACACATGTAACAGGGGTCAGTAATTTGTACACATATAACAGGGGTCAGCAACCGTGTACACATGTAACAGGGGGTCAGCAACTGTGTACACATGTTAAAGGGGTCAGCAACTTGTACACATGTAACAGGGGGTCAGCAACTGTGTACTTATGTAACAGGGGGTCAGCAACTGTGCACACGTGTAACATGGGGTCAGCAACTGTGTACACGTGTGACAGGGGATCAGCAACTGTGTACACATGTAACAGGGGTCAGTACCTTTCTACACGTGTAACAGGGGGTCAGCAACTTGTACACATATAACAGGGGTCAGCAACTTGTACACATGTAACAGGGGTCAGCAACTTGTACACATGTAACAGGGGTCAGTAATTTGTACACATATAACAGGGGTCAGCAACTGTGTACACATGTAACAGGGGGTCAGCAACTGTGTACACATGTAAAAGGGGTCAGCAACTTGTACACATGTAACAGGGGTCAGCAACTTGTACACGTGTAACATGGGGTCAGCAACCTGTACACATGTAACAGGGGGTCAGCAACCGTGTACACATGTAACAGGGGGTCAGCAACTTGTACACGTGTTACATGGGGTCAGCAACTGTGTACACGTGTGACAGGGGGTCAGCAACTTGTACACATATAACAGCGGTAAGCAACTGTGTACACGTGTGACAGGGGGTCAGCAACTGTGTACACATGTAACAGGGGTCAGTACCTTTCTACACGTGTAACAGGGGGTCAGCAACATGTACACATATAACAGGGGTAAGCAACTTTTACACATGTAACAGGGGCCAGCAACTTGTACACATGTAACAGGGGTCAGTAATTTGTACACATATAGCAGGGGTCAGCAACTGTGAAGACATGTAACAGGGGGTCAGCAACTGTGTACACATGTAAAAGGGGTCAGCAACTTGTACACATGTAACAGGGGGTCAGCAACTGTGTACTTATGTAACAGGGGTCAGCAACTGTGTACACGTGTAACAGGGGGTCAACAAGTGTGTACACGTGTGACAGGGGGCCAGCAACTGTGTACACATGTAACAGGGGGTCAGTAACTGTGTACACGTGTAAGAGGGGGTCAGCAACTGTGTACACGTGTGACAGGGGGTCAGCAACTGTGTACACATGTAACGGGGTCAGCAACTGTGTACACATGTAACAGGGGGTCAGCAACGGTGTACACATGTAACAGGGGTCAGCAACTGTGTACACATGTAACAGGGGGTCAGCAACTGTGTACACATGTAACAGGGGTCAGCAACTGTGTACACATGTAACAGGGGGTCAGCAACTGTGTACACATGTAAAAGGGGTCAGCAACTGTGTACACGTGTAACAGGGGGTCAGCAACTGTGTACACATGTGACAGGGGTCAGCAACTGTGTACACATGTAAAAGGGGTCAGCAACTGTGTACACATGTAACAGGGGTCAGCAACTGTGTACACGTGTAACAGGGGGTCAGCAACTGTGTACACATGTGAAAGGGGTCAGCAACTGTGTACACATGTAACAGGGGGTCAGCAACTGTGTACACATGTAAAAGGGGTCAGCAACTGTGTACACGTGTAACAGGGGGGCAACAACTGTGTACACATGTAACAGGGGGTCAGCAACTGTGTACACATGTAAAAGGGGTCAGCAACTGTGTACACATGTAAAAGGGGTCAGCAACTGTGTACTTATGTAACAGGGGGTCAGCAACTGTGTACACGTGTAAAAGGGGGTCAGCAACTGTGTCCACGTGTGACAGGGGGTCAGCAACTGTGTACACATGTAACGGGGTCAGCAACTGTGTACACATGTAACAGGGGGTCAGTTACTGTGTACACGTGTAACAGGGGGTCAGCAACTGTGTACACGTGTAACAGGGGGTCAGCAACCGTGTACACATGTAACAGGGGGTCAGCAACTGTGCACACGTGTAACAGGGGGTCAGCAACTGTGTACACGTGTAACAGGGGGTCAGCAACTGTGTACACATGTAACAGGGGGTCAGCAACTTTATTACGTTACTAATTTACTGGAATTGATGCCCAAAATATAGTAAACGCCTACAGCTAGCTCACTGGAAAATGTCATTCATTCTTCACGTTATCGTTACAAAATTTACAGATCTCTGAAGTTTTAGGATGAGTAAATCTACCTGATGCAATTTCTGATTGCACAGTGCCACGGCACAATTTACTCCTAAGTGTATTTCCTTGCTTCAATCTACGCTTAAGACTAGGAAATATGATCTTTTATGGCAAGTAAAGGATAAAAAACGACCACCAAGTTTCCCGATTCCCCGTGCTTACAGTCTCAGTCAAGATCAAAGAAGAGCTTTTTCCAACTTGTAAACTGAAATGAAGATTTTACACAACATTTATAAACAATTTTAGGTTTCCAAAACAATTCTCCTGAATCTTATGAAACGGACATAAAATAACTCTTGATGTACTTGAAAAATAGATCCTCAAAAGCATTGTGTTTATCAGCGCCTTTGAGGCCTTACTCGCCAGGCTACAAATACAGCGGCTGAACTGAAATAAAGTAACATTTGTCGTTTGATTTAACATCATGCAATGAAATAGTCCTGGTAAGGTACTAAGTCTTTTTAAATTATCTCATCTCTTATTTGTTGTAGCGGTGACCCTGAGACCATAGATCGCAACAGAGGCAGTGGACCAGTCTTAAAGGATACGTAGACAGGAGCCCAGCCAAGTGGCCGTGAATAATCGTGTTTTCCGAAAAAGACCGAGGTCTAAGGGGAGGTAATAGAAACAAGAACGAAAACTAAGACTTTCACCTGAGAGTCTGTTGACAGAGAAAACAATGGTATGAATCCCAGCTATCTTTTATAATGTGGGACGTTGTTTGAATTACGTTGTATTTTAAGATATTCTTCATTTTTTTTCAGGCAAGGTTCTTTGATCAACAGAAGATTGACGGTGAGTTTACAGGTGACAGCAAGGTGACCACACCCATCTGCATCGAACCTTTCCTGTTGACGAGAATTTGACATTGTAATATGTAGGAACTTCCAGGAAACTGTTTTAGCCGTACCAGTGTTAGGGTGGGGCATATGTGTAGATCGAAACAAACGAAATTGTGTGATTAAATCTCATTTAGTACCGCATGTGATAGTTTTTTTAAGGCCCCCAAATAGCTTGCAATGAAATTATTTGGACTGTTGACTGTTACATTTGAACGTAATAGGTGTATGACTGCTAGATAAAATGTTTAGATGTATGAAAAAATGAAAATCAGTGCAAAGACCTGTCATCTGTTTGAACCCATTTGATAAAATATCCTGGTTAGATCGCCGTGACTAAAAGTCCAAGCAGGGAGTCTAAGTAAAATAGTGGATTTGCTCGGCTGCATTATGCTTTAGTGAATGCTGTAGGATTTACTGCGCACTTCTACAGCTGAAAAAATAACATATATAAGTACCAAAGTCTCAAGTTCTTTAGTCACTTAGAGTGGTGCCGGGTATTTCCGAACAACCTTTCCAAACTCCACGATGACAGTTACATCATGATCATTTGCCATCACACTTTCTTGTGGAAGTATCGTGGTATCGTCCTATAAAGCTCTCGAACCCACACGACACCACTTTGCAGGGACTAGATGAATAGTGTTTTTAAATATTTAACTTAAATACCCACATGTGTAAAAACTAGTGGGTAACAGAAATTTGAATACCCAAATAGAATTACTGATACCCAATGATTTTAAAATGCATGGGTAAAATACCCACAACACCAAAAGCTTATCTGCAGCTCTGTATCATGTCAAATCTTTCAATGTGAATCCTAGTCTTGTGTTCTGATGGGCAGTACACTTGTTACAGATCAATATTTTACCTGTGTCTGTCTATTTTGAACATTCTTGTTGGATTTTTCTTAACACTATTGCTGTACATCACTCGGGGAGCATTGTGGCTGAGTATGGCCCTGAGTATCATTGCTATACAATGATATGATTTACTTTCAGCATATTCTATGTGTTCAATAAGAATACAAAAGTAACCAAAACATTTCTGACCTAGCCTGTAGTACTGAAATGTATGTAATACAGTCCGTTCCAAGAGTGTAAAACCTAGGGCTGGGATCGGTAATTCGGGTACTCAGGTTGGGTGTGTACTGAGTGGGACCCGGGTACCCAAAGGACTACCCGGACCCGTAGTTAGTCACGCAAACTTCAGTCAACTTCAGTGTATGCATGATCAGATCGTTTATTTGTGTATCTAAATACATTTTGCCAGGGCTACAGTCAAACTTTTCCCAGTCAGACAGTTGTTCCTATCTCTTAAGACATACAGTGGGTTCCCGGTAGGGTTGGGTAACAGGGGGTTGAGTACCCGGGTAGTAAATTTGGACTTGTCCAAGCCCTATTAATACCACAGGCATTTGTAATTCTGATTACAGTTATGATCTGCAATATATGTGTGTTTTGGCTACCACACACTTGCCAAGATTGCTGGGATCGGATGGGGGGATGGGCAAGATGTCAGGCATATTCAGCATGTTAGGAGACCATACCTGACGACTGCCCATTTATTTGTGATAACTGATACCAGAAAACATGTCTCCCACTTTAGATAACAAATTCTGATGCATATGAATAATAGTTGTTCAATGTTGGATTTTATGCTTGATAGACAAGACTTCAAGTCAGACTAACCAAAGAAAATACTACGTTTGTCGGAAAAGGTGTTGTCAATTAACTATGATCGGCTTTTGACGGATACAGCTGAAGTTATTGAAATGTATTTGACCGAGTTTCCCATAGCTGCTGTGCACGTATTTCACTATTAACCACTGTCAAAGCTATCTTCATATTCTATGAAGATTTAAATATTACAAATGGCACATGTTCATTAATTTCTTCAACCTAAACATACAAACAAAAATAACTGGTGAAAACTTCTCGGATGTCGTTATTTGGAAATCCCACGATGGAAAGAGTTCCATAAGAAAAAGTATCCCCTCAGTGAAAGCCTGTCCAGATTCCTGAATGCATGGATGATATTTGTGGTACAAGCTGCAACTAAAATAACTTGATATTGGAATATATTATTTCTGATAAACTAATAGCTTCAGATACAATTCATCCAATCATTGCATCAAAAAGGTACATGTTTATACATTATTCATATATTATTTATATATTTTTTATATATTATTGGGTATTTTTTTGACTGAGTCACCGGTTAATTGGTTGAAAATGTGAGTACAGCTGATTGCTATTTCTGGCTGAAGATACAGATGGTAATCTTAATTTCTGCATATAAAAATACAATTTAAATGGTAAGTCATCATGTCTAGTGATACTTTATCATTCAAATTTTGCATTTTTATTGGCCAAGTATCTACCCAGCTAACAATTTCACGTTGTGACAACGTCGTGACAACGTTGTGTTTACGTTATGGCAACGTTGCGGATGTTACGTCCATATAACGTTATTCTGTGGACTCCCATTTATGTTGTCACAACGTCATGGCCGAATGTTGTGTTACGTCATATTCACGTCGTCACAACGTTGTGATGACGTTGTATTTTACGTTGTGGGAACGTTGTGATAACGTCGTGTTTACGTTGTGGTAACGTTGCGGATGTTACGTCCATATAACGTTATTCTGTGGACTCCCATTTATGTTGTCACAACGTCATCGCCTCACGTTGTGTTACGTCATATTCACGTCGTCACAACGTTGTGATGACGTTGTATTTTACGTTGTGGGAACGTTGTATTTTTACGTTGAGGGAACGTTGTATTTGACGTTGTGGTTATGTTGTATTTTACGTTGTGGTAATGTTATAATAATGCGTCCCTACAACGTTATTCTGTGTACTACCATGGACGTTGTCACAACGACGTGAAATAACTTTGTGTTACAAGGATGATCATGATACGGTTGTGACCACTCCACACTAAAATGTAAAGACAACCCCAAAACTTGTTCCGGAAATGTTTTAGGATATGCTTTAGTCACATGAATGTGTATGATACGAGATACCTTTTACCAATATTTAAAAACCAGGGCGTCGAATAGCCCGGTTAACAGTGAGTTAGATCGTGTGAAAACACCCCTCAGCTGTTAACTAGATACATGATTTGACTATAACAAAGTCAGACACCATTACCCTTTAGGCTTGTACTGAAAGAAACAAAAAAAAAGAATGGCAGACATTGTAAGGGGTTGACCATGTGATATTTTCTGGGTCGGGTCGGGTCCTGGAATATTATCGATAAATATATTGTCACCGAAAATTCTTGACAAAAATAATTACGGTTCAGACTGGTGAAAAAAATGCCTGCCACAAAAAAATGACATAGATCTAGATGCAAGGTGCTTATCTTCAGGCTCATAGAGTTAAAGAAAATCATATATCTGCTTTTGTAGCTGTGACCGAAAACATATGTAATCTCCATAGAAAAGTTCCAGGTCCCCACCTCCTTGAATATTAAATGGTCGGTCTCTAATCAAGTCCATATAGTATACTTCAACTTTCAGTCATGCGAAGTCACCATTCAACAAAGAACTCCAAGACACATTTGCGTTGACATTTTATTATTTTTAGATTATAGAAAATGTATACACTTTTCGAAATTATTGAATGCCAGAATCTTCTTTCTTTGGTGTTCACTTCCACTTCCCTGAAATACAAACAGCTTAATAAATCTCGAGCAGGTATATGAAAGATTTCGTATGACGAGAAACATTCATTTGGAGATAAGGTTTTATCAATATTCAAACTATAATGTATAATTCAAGTGACTGATGGAAACAAATTTTAACATTCATTCAGAGACATCAAGAATCAGGTTGAATACAAAACGTGGTACGAGCATAGATTTATATAAATAGATCTACATTCTTAGCATTCATTTCAAGCAAAAAAAAACCCACCAATTAACATGGATATAGACAATGGAATGTAACCGTAAACAATTGTCTTACGTTAACATAATTCACAGCCCAGGGTTTATTTGGTGTGTTCCTCAATGATTCAACATTCTTGATATTATCTCCTGGAATGGTCGTGTAACATTTTCCCCCTTGCTGCAACGAAAACAAGAAAAAAAGTCAAAACTAAAACTATATTCAATAAGCATACATTTAGATCTGTAGTCTAAACAAAAAGATAACATACATTGTATAATTGCCTAAAATTTAGGAAAACTGTAAATCTAAAGTCTTCATGTATAAGGTCCGATCGGAAATAAACTCAGGCTACAGATATAAGTAACAAATTTATGAGTACCATCATAAAAAAAACACCTAATGTAATTTGGTTTTACATATACACCGGTCTGACAAACCAGTGATTGTTATAGTGAGCCACGTCTCACAACCTCTGTCAGAGTACAATGACACACAATCATGTTAGTACAAACATGGTTTGTTGGGGACCTTTTCTAAACCGGAATCCAAACGGGAACAGATATATTTGACAGGCATTGTAGCTAATTACGACTCACATCTTCATCGCAGCGCTGTTTTTATAGATCTAGCTACAGTACGATTTTGTAGCTAGCACTGGAACTTACTCGTTCAGTTTGCGATCACCATTTTATTCTCTCTCATTGCCAAAACGTTTCAGAGAACCAAGAACCAAGTATCATATACTTACTACGTTTATTAACATAATACAGTTCAATATCGTTAAATATAATTCTGTAGTATGGTAGCCTACCTGGCAACATACACAGATCGAAAACCGAACGAATATGGTTGCTATCAATTCCATTGTATTTTTCATTGGTGCACATTGACTAGATCTACACCTATCTCACCTTAATAATCAACAAACGATGACCAAATCACTGACAATGTATGGTGATATTTAACTTTTGATTATCGACTAGCTTATCATCACCAGCGAGAACAATACCGCAAACACCCCGTTATAGCGCGCGACGAGACTCGTTTTACTTTTGCTCGTTTTCATTAGAAGGGAGTCGGACATAGATCTAGTTATCGGAAAATGATGAATTGATTCTTTTTTGGGGAAATATTAAAAATACACATGATAAGCGCCTTGCTCAAATAAACTTTATAGACAGCACCAACAACCATATGATCCACATTTAGGCCACTTCAGTCAGTGCTAATAGGGCCTTTTCGGGAACAACAAGTATGTTTCTGTCTCTTCCCGAAAATACAATTTTTCATAACATCATTGAGCCCTTTAGACTAGGGCTATAACTAGCAGCCTACAGAGAGTCGATCTGAAAATACTTCCATTGTTTTGATTCCCTCTCTTCGCTGTATAAGAGAAATCTACTCAACCTTTCCCATGGCCTGAATGAGCCACATTGTTTCACAAAAATCAAAGTCAGAATATTAGTACATGTAAACTTTCAGATTTCAGCAATAACACGGAAGAAATGGCGATAACTGTCAGTGGTCAGTAGGCGATGCATACGTTAGGCCTATTTAGGCATACAGGCCTTATACGCTTACGATCGAAACCCGAACATAATATGACGACCACAAAACGCCGCCAGACTGAATTCTGGTCAAACATATACCTACTGCTTGCCCTTGGTAACTACCCTTGGTATCCATAAAATAATAATATGGTAAAAAGTCATGGGCTTCCTTCACCTCTATATACATCACGTTCTGTGTATCAAATATTACTATCAACACTGACGCTCAGCTCAGTGAAAGTGACCGGCAAAGTACATTCTAAACCCCGCCACTTCTGAATAATATGATACATTTAAATCATTTGACTATCTGCATGTACAGAAACATATCAACAAGCGGAGACTGCTTTTGAAAAATAACTTACCTTATCCGAATTCACAGATCATCTGTCCAGTTCCCGTTGCTGCACAATCCCTTGGTTGTAATATATCCAGAGTGAGTTTGAACTAAGATGGCTGGTGACAACAAATCTTCCGCGACAATGTGACGTCATTTTGACGTCACTTCACGAGGCAACAGGCTAAACTTTTCAGCAGTCGCTCTCACGCCGCAAAAAATGCGCGCCAATGTGTTTTTAACTGTAATTTTGCTTTAGACAACATTTAACTTTGTTCATAGATATATATGTTTAAAATAAATAAAACTACGAGATGGTAGATCTACAAGTGGTTTCCTAAACATCATTTACAAAAAGTGTTGTAATGTCCAAAGCATAACGTTATCACAACGTTAATTTGCAACGTTGCTGTTACGTTGTGGAATAACGTTACAATGTAACGTAATACTAACGTTGTAATAGAGATACGCAATTACGTTCTGGGAATTTTAGTATTAAGAGATGAAAATTCAAATGCCGAATATACAGAAAGGTAATGCATTACTGCCTTGGTATTCTGACAAATTCATGTTGATTTTGATAAAGCAGTTCTATTCCTTTATGACTATCAAGAAGCAAACTTTATAACTTTTAACCGACGTTTCAGAAACGTAGTTACAAAACGTTGTGCGATGTCCGATGCACAACGTTTTCACAACGTGAATGTGCAACGTTGTTATAACGTTGTGAAATAACGTTGCATGTTGACGTTATAATAACGTTGTGACAACGTTATTTCACGACGTTACCAATCCACAACCTTTCCACAACGTTGTGACAACGTCGTGTGTTAGCTGGGTAAGCACCTGTTCGTTTACCTGAAATCTCGGAAAGGATATGATGTAGTTTCTTACTATGTGTAATATGATGTTGACCCATAGCGTCACCCTTGCAAGTCATGTATACACTAATCTACAACAAAAACACATGTCAGTTTGTTGTAAAACCTTTGTTATGATATCAGGTTTGTCATTGTTCAAGCCTCCGATAGATGTTGCTTTGCGCAGCGCAACGAGGATAGCACTGAACACAAGTCAATCCAGTCGAAATTATAGTCCATAATAAGCACATTTTGTATCAGAAAAAGCCCAGCCGTGTTTCAATACTTTCAAAGTTGGAGTGTTATTGCCCTTTAACTATGAGATGCATTTCACATCGTACTGCCATCTGTTGTGTCATATTTCAATGAAAAATCCTTGCAATCAGCAATTATACAGCCTCAGTAGGAATTGATCTTTGCAACTGCTACATTCAACCCAATCCATATCTCGGATAGTACATTTTGTACAAATTTTCACAATATTTGTACATTTCTTGTCTTGAACATGAATCCAAGATATGATGACATATATTTCAAGATCTATGTAACAGGGAACATCTCATATATATCTAAACATAATAAGCGTAATAATAAGAAAAACATCCTTTTGTTCGACAATATCTGCATGTTCTGTAATTCCAGACGCTGCTGTACCTCTGAATGCATATACATATACATATATTATCTGCTGACTGCTATATCTCTCCTTATATATCAGTAGGAGCATAGCTATATCTCACGTTCTGTTGCACCAGTTGGAGCATAGCTATATATCACCTTATATATCAGTAGGAGCATAGCTATTTCTTACACACCTGTTGGTGAAAAACCCATTTGAGATAACTGGTATCAAACATATGTGTGAGATCGAATTCCAGGCCCGTGATTGGCTACTCCATGGTGATGACCTGAGGTCAGATGATGACGGACTACTTTCCTGAGTGTAAGTCATTCATAAGTTGCTCGTGCTTCAGTCGAATGTTCACCTTCGTCTGTCGTGAACAACAGGACCGTGTAATTAATAATAAAAATAAACAAACTCGTCCTTGTCTGCGAGTTTGTTTGGTATTATTATCAGTTACATTATCTGTTGTTATGTCAACATTATCGTTTTTTCAGAGTGTAAACCCCCTGGATGCCACAGCGACACATATGTCCCTCCTATTCAACCCTCACTTCGAAATGGAATAAAATTCAAAATACATCACGCAGACTAATACACTTCATGTGCACAGTTTTGAATTCCCCCTTCTGTTTATCATTTACTGTCATTTTAGGCAATTCAAAATTACTGAAAGTGACTTCTGAAAATTAGATACATTGTAAACCTCGCCAAATCACAATTCACGGCGTTATATAAATATTTATTGTGTGTTTAGAAATCTAAATAGCGGATATTTACTTGAATAATTAAAGAAGAAAAATAGCATATTAGCGATCACGGGTATCAAATCACTAATGATAATTCTGAAACGTTGCTGTTAAGCCTAGAATCGTTTAAAATGTTTTGGAAAATATGTTCTGCCATATTGGATTGGATTGTGTTTACAAATTGCCGGTTATGAGACACCTATTCAATCAGGTATATTTCAAACTCAGCTGCTATACATGCATCCCTGAATTCCTCATACATTTTCGAAACAATGGATAAATCGTCTTTGTCACCAACGCAAATTATCTAGATGAAATCATGCGAAATATATTAGAGTCTAGGTATGGAAACGAAAACTGTGCTCGGAAAACTGTACTTGCTGAAATGTAAACAAAGCAAAATTCAGATTTTACACTGTGTAGCATTTTTAGAGGTACTTTCGTCTAATTGTTGCAAACATTGGCTCGATCACGCGTTTGAGAATATTCATGGGAATACACATATACACATTACAATGATGTGGTAAATTCAACAGAAGCCGTAAAAGTTTCCGTCCTGTGTGACGCCATGACTGATGCTAAATCATGCACAACGATGACGTTAGTTATCTGCATTTCTGACTAATTCTCTTTGTTACATTGGAAAACATGGTAAACAAATAACAGTACGCTGATTGTCAGAATGTTTCAGATTACTTACATGAAACATTTATGTGTATACGATCCCTCAATCAACGAAAATCCTCCTCTGGAAATCCCGCGTACTGTTGTCAGTGAACACGCCATTTTGTAAAAGTCGGTCACCGGCAGTGATGTCATACGGAAGTAAACATTGTTGTACATATTTGGTAATTTCTTTGAGGTGTAAACTTTCAACTTTGCTCCCGGCGTGTTCTTTGTTTTTGTCTAGTTTGCATTTTCATCATCGCCTTGATAATCCACAGATATGACGGAAACCTTTTTGTGTAGGGTCACATTATTTATGAGAAGTAAGCAGCACATAAGATGACGTCACTTATGACAGTGGTGTTATGTATTAATGCGCTCATTCAATCATGAGAATAGACAAAATTCATCGGTTCGATGCTAAAAAGGTGCAATTTTAGGGTGTGTAAGAAACAGATTACTGCACTCGTGCCTCTCAGATACCATTGATCTTACAACTCGTTGTGACAAAGCGTATCTAACTCGCTTTCGCTCGTTAGATATGTTTTGAAACAACTCGTTGTAAGATCAATGGTATCTGACAGACACTCGTGTAGTAATCTCTATATATCACCTTATATATCAGTAGGAGCATAGCTATATCTCACCTTATATATCAGTAGGAGCATAGCTATATATCACCTTATGTATCAGTTGGAGCATAGCTATATCTCACCTTATATATCAGTAGGAGCATAGCTATATCTCACCTTATATATCAGTAGGAGCATAGCTATATATCACCTTATGTATCAGTTGGAGCATAGCTATATATCACCTTATATATCAGTAGGAGCATAGCTATATATCACCTTATATATCAATAGGAGCATAGCTATATCTCACCTTATATATCATTAGGATCATAGCTATATATCACCTTATATATCAGTAGGAGCATAGCTTTATCTCACCTTATGTATCAGTAGGAGCATAGCTATATATCACCTTATATATCAGTAGGAGCATAGAGAATACCACACTCATTCTCATTAGATACCATTTTTACGAAACGAGTAGACTTTCTATGGTATCTGACTGAGCAAAGTGAGAAGCATAGAAAGTTCATGCCAGAAACCTTTGATTGTGGGTCGAATCCCAGGTCGCCCCGGTTATGTTTCTATGTTTGTCAGCACCATACCCGTGCTTGTGGGTTTCACTGAAGTGGTAAACGTCTATGACCTGCATCACTTCGGGCTTTCCTCCCACATTAAGCCTCCCACACTCCGTGAAATAACTGGAATACTGTTTAAGGCGGCGTTAAACCCAACTCACTCACTCATATCTCACCTTATATTGCACCTATAGTAGAGTCTCCTATCTCACCTTATATTGCTCCAATGGTAGAGTCTCATATCTCACCTACCGCCTCCGTGTTCTAGTGGTGGAGCGTCCGCCTGGAGAGGGGAATGTCCGGGGTTTGATCCCCGGCCGCGTCAAAAGACGTTAAAAGATGGTACTTGTTGTTACCCTGTCTGGCACTCGGCATTAAGGCGCTAAAACAAGGACTGGTCGGCTCGGGGTCAGTTTACTGTATCTGAGTGGGGTATTCATGTTAAACTGCGGCATGGTATCTCAGTGGGCTAGCACAATAAGTCGGCATCAGTCTGGACTGGTACAAGCAGCCACACAAACACACAAATGTACATGCACATTGCTATGTAAGTGCAATAATCTTGGACGCGACGTAAACCCAATTTCACCTCACCTCATATCTCACCTTATGTTGCACCTATAGTAGAGTCTCATACCATATTTTCTTGAGTATAGTGCACACTTTTTTTCCAAAAAAAATCTCAGCAGTGTAGAAGGGTGTGCGCATTATACACACCATAGTTAGTTTTGATGTTTTTTTCCCTCATTACCATGAGCACGTAACACCGGAAATACCATATCAACAAATCCATACTGAAGTATGCAAATTTATCATGTAATTACACTGTCTGGCTATAAAAAGTGTTCTTTGTATATCTGGACTTATGTTTGTAACTTATTTCATTAATTTTATTCAAAATTCCTTTTAATATTGTTTTAATTAATTTCTGCGAAATTGTGTCTGAAGCAATCAGAAGATTGCACAACTCATCATTATTAACAGCAACCACGGTCAGATTACCGCTATTGACGCCTTGAAACAAACTGTAGTTGACAGAGAATGGATACATATATCATAAATGCCATACTTCATATAAGTCATATTTGCTATAGTTTGACGATTCTATATCAACACGTAGTTCACGCAATCACGTGCGTGGGAACCTCGACAATGACTGGTCAAACTGGTTCCATGTGAAAAATAATACCCGGCAATAGCGATCAGCTGCTACGCTTAGGTTTGTTATTATTTTAAACATATTTAGTAAAAGCTGCAACTAAATTAACAAGATATTGGAATATATTATTCCTGGTAAAAAAATAGTTTCAGATACAATTTTTGCCAATCCTTGCATTAAAATCCTGTGAAGTTATATCATTGGGTGTGTCTTGACCGAATCATCGTAGTTTCCAAGAGAACAGGCGTACAACTGATTGCTGTTTATGGCTTAGTTTACAATAAAATACACAAGGTAATCTTAATCCCTGAAGTAAAACAATGCCTAGCCGAACAAAAAATACAATTTCAACGGTAAATTAACATCTCTGGTGATTTTTTTATCTCAAAATTCAAATTTGTACTGACCAAGTTTCTCACCACCCATTCGTTTACCGGAATTCGCTGAAGGGGAATTCTGCGCATAATATTTGAATTTTCTTTTTCCAAAACACTGAATCCGCTAGAGGAGGGTGCACATTATAATTTGGGTCCGCACTATACTCAAGAAAATGCTGTATTTCACCTTATATTGCACCTACAGTAGAGTCTCCTATCTCACCTTATATTGCACCTATAGTAGAGTCTCATATCTCACCTAATATTGCACCTGTAGTAGAGTCTCCTATCTCACCTTATATTGCACCTATAGTAGAGTCTCATATCTCACCTTATATTGAATCTATAGTAGTCTCCTATCTCACCTTATATTGACCCTATAGTAGAGTCTAATATCTCACCTTATATTGCACCTATAGTAGAGTCTCCTATCTCACCTTATATTGCACCTATAGTAGAGTCTCCTATCTCACCTTATATTGCACCTATAGTAGAGTCTCCTATCTCACCTTATATTGAACCTATAGAAGAGTCTCCTATCTCACCTTATATTGAACCTATAGTAGAGTCTCCTATCTCACCTTATATTGCATCTATAGTAGAGTCTCATATCTCACCTTATATTGCACCTATAGTAGAGTCTCCTATCTCACCTTATATTGCACCTATAGTAAAGTGTCCTATCTCACCTTATATTGCACCTACAGTAGAGTCTCATATCTCACCTTATATTGCACCTATAGTAGTCTCCTATCTCACCTTATATTGCACCTATAGTAGAGTCTCCTATCTCACCTTATATTGCACCTACAGTAGAGTCTAATATCTCACCTTATATTGCACCTATAGTAGAGTCTCCTATCTCACCTTATATTGCACCTGTAGTAGAGTCTCATATCTCACCTTATATTGCACCTGTAGTAGTCCCCTATCTCACCTTATGTTGCACCTATAGTAGAGTCTCCTATCTCACCTTATATTGCACCTATAGTAGAGTCTCCTATCTCACCTTATGTTGCACCTACAGTAGAATCTAATATCTCACCTTATATTGCACCTATAGTAGAGTCTCCTATCTCACCTTATGTTGCATCTATAGTAGAGTCTCCTATCTCACCTTATATTGCACCTATAGTAGAGTCTCCTATCTCACCTTATGTTGCACCTATAGTAGAGTCTCCTATCTCACCTTATGTTGCACCTATAGTAGAGTCTCCTATCTCACCTTATATTGCACCTGTAGTAGAGTCTCATATCTCACCTTATATTGCACCTATAGTAGAGTCTCCTATCTCACCTTATGTTGCACCTATAGTAGAGTCTCCTATCTCACCTTATATTGCACCTATAGTAGAGTCTCCTATCTCACCTTATATTGCACCTGTAGTAGAATCTAATATCTCACCTTATATTGCACCTATAGTAGAGTCTCCTATCTCACCTTATGTTGCACCTATAGTAGAGTCCCCTATCTCACCTTATATTGCACCTATAGTAGTCCCCTATCTCACCTTATGTTGCACCTATAGTAGAGTCCCCTATCTCACCTTATATTGCACCTATAGTAGTCCCCTATCTCACCTCATGTTGCACCTGTAGTAGAGTCCCCTATCTCACCTTATATTGCACCTGTAGTAGTCTCCTATCTCACCTCATGTTGCTCCAATAGGAGTATAATTGTAAGTGTCTCTGTTTGCAGAATTTAAGGAGTGTTTCTACTTCCATGCACGGAAAGGCTTCATCCAGCAGGAGGGAGACTTGAACATCATCATGCGATCCCTGGCCTATAGTCCTACCCGACAGGAAGTCCACAAGTATTATGTGAAATGTGCATCTAAAGATCCTAATAGTATGTATACACTGAACTCTCATCGATCTTGCTGCAAGTACAACACTCAGCCTGTGCCAGGGTACTATTTGCAGTTTACATGTTTATTATGTACAAGTTAATATTTTCATTTATTTCCAGAATTATGTTTTTCTTTTTCTGTTGCAACAAGATGGACTGATTGGCTGTTGCACTGAACATAAGTGAGGACCATTGAAACCAGTGGTTAATACTATGAGCAGCAATCATGCCATTTGGACACAATTACACAAAAAGCTAAGACATACATTGTAAGCAAAACACATCCTCATGTTAATTAAATCCTACAACAAGCATGGGGTATCTTTCTGAGGCAGTACCATCCCCCAGTTAGTGAGCCCTAATGCCAAGGTTAGTCATCTCTTTTGACGAACATGGGGTACAGGGGACCTATTCTCACCTGGAGTCCTCCTCTGGGCAGTTCTGTAGCATTAGGCACATGTTAATTTCAAACTAGTGATTGAACTAGTCCATAAGTGAATATAAGTAAGGTATCCCTAGGAATTGTCTGTTTTTATAGTTGGACTGCTAATGCAGCACATTGAGGTTTTGAACTAATGCAGCACATTGAGGATTTGAACTAATGCTAATGCAGCACATTGAGGTTTTGAACTAATGCAGCACATTGAGGTTTTGAACTAATGCAGCACATTGAGGATTTGAACTAATGCTAATGCAGCACATTGAGGTTTTGAACTAATACAGCACATTGAGGTTTTGAACTAATGCTAAAGCAGCACATTGAGGTTTTGAACTAATGCTAATAAAGCACATTGAGGTTTTGAATTTTTCATCTTTCAAAAGAAATTGTAGGAAAGCTGGAGTAAGAGAGTGATGCTGATCACTCAGTGCAACAAGAAGAAAAGTCATGCTGTGAGGCTTGAAACATAAAAGAATTGGTTCTCAGGCTATGCCTTTTAAAAATATGGTGCAGGTGGGTGGTGTTTTGTTAGGGTTCCGGTGTTGTTCAAACTGCTGATAGTATGTAACCAAATAAACAGTTATGTACAATCAACCTTGGAAATGGACTCCTTACATAAATATGTTCCTTGATAAGTATAATACTGGAATACAGTATTTGACTACTCTTGGACTTCCAGTGTGTGCATAGTGCATGCATACAATGAGCTTTGATTTTATTTCACATGCAAAGATGTAATCGCGACCACACAAACGCCGGAACGATCATGTCAACAAATCCGTACTGAAGTACACGACTTAGTCCTGTTGTTATACTATCTGGCTATGAAAGTGTTAGTTTCTGAGTGTGCAGTGAGAGCTGTTGACACTGTTGAAGGTGTTGTTAGTTCCTGAGTGTACAGTGAGACCTGTTGATACTGTTGAAGGTGTTGTTAGTTCCTGAGTGTACAGTGAGACCTGTTGATACTGTTGAAGGTGTTGTTAGTTCCTGAGTGTACAGTGAGACCTGTTGACACTGTTGAAGGTGTTGTTAGTTCCTGAGTGTACAGTGAGACCTGTTGATACTGTTGAAGGTGTTGTTAGTTCCTGAGTGTACAGTGAGACCTGTTGATATTGTTGAAGGTGTTGTTAGTTCCTGAATGTACAGAGAGACCTGTTGATACTGTTGAAGGTGTTGTTAGTTCCTGAGTGTACAGTGAGACCTGTTGAGACTGTTGAAGGTGTTGTTAGTTCCTGAGTGTACAGTGAGACCTGTTGATACTGTTGAAGGTGTTGTTAGTTCCTGAGTGTACAGTGAGACCTGTTGATACTGTTGAAGGTGTTGTTAGTTCCTGAGTGTACAGAGAGACGTGTTGATACTGTTGAAGGTGTTGTTAGTTCCTGAGTGTACAGTGAGACCTGTTGATACTGTTGAAGGTGTTGTTAGTTCCTGAGTGTACAGTGAGACCTGTTGATACTGTTGAAGGTGTTGTTAGTTCCTGAGTGTACAGTGAGACCTGTTAACACAGTTGAAGATGTTGTTAGTTCCTGAGTGTACAGAGAGACCTGTTGATACTGTTGAAGGTGTTGTCAGTTCCTGAGTGTACAGTGAGACCTGTTGATACTGTTGAAGGTGTTGTTAGTTCCTGAGTGTACAGAGAGACCTGTTGATACTGTTCAAGGTGTTGTTAGTTCCTGAGTGTACAGAGAGACCTATTGATACTGTTGAAGGTGTTGTTAGTTACTGAGTGTACAGTGAGACCTGTTGACACTGTTGAAGGTGTTGTTAGTTCCTGAGTGTAAAGTGAGACCTGTTGATACTGTTGAAGGTGTTGTCAGTTCCTGAGTGTACAGAGAGACCTGTTGACACTGTTGAAGTGTTGTTAGTTCCTGAGTGTACAGTGAGACCTGTTGATACTGTTGAAGTTGTTGTTAGTTCCTGAGTGTACAGTGAGACCTGTTGATACTGTTGAAGGTGTTGTTAGTTCCTGAGTGTACAGTGAGACCTGTTGATACTGTTGAAGGTGTTGTTAGTTCCTGTGTGTACAGTGAGACCTGTTGATACTGTTGAAGGTGTTGTTAGTTCCTGAGTGTACAGTGAGACCTGTTCATACTGTTGAAGGTGTTGTTAGTTCCTGAGTGTACAGTGAGACCTGTTGATACTGTTGAAGATGTTGTCAGTTCCTGAGTGTACAGAGAGACCTGTTGACACTGTTGAAGGTGTTGTTAGTTCCTGAGTGTATAGTGAGACCTGTTGTTACTGTTGAAGGTGTTGTTAGTTCCTGAGTGTACAGTGAGACCTGTTGATACTGTTGAAGGTGTTGTTAGTTCCTGAGTGTACAGAGAGACCTGTTGATACTGTTGAAGGTGTTGTTAGTTCCTGAGTGTACAGTGAGACCTGTTGATACTGTTGAAGGTGTTGTTAGTTCCTGAGTGTACAGTGAGACCTGTTGAAGGTGTTGTTAGTTCCTGAGTGTACAGTGAGACCTGTTGACACAATTGAAGATGTTGTTAGTTCCTGAGTGTACAGAGAGACCTGTTGATATTGTTGAAGGTGTTGTTAGTTCCTGAGTGTACAGTGAGACCTGTTGATACTGTTGAAGGTGTTGTCAGTTCCTGAGTGTACAGTGAGACCTGTTGACATAGTTAAAGGTGTTGTAAGTTCCTGAGTGGACAGTGAGACCTGTTGACACTGTTGAAGGTGTTGTTAGTTCCTGAGTGTACAGAGAGACCTGTTGGTACTGTTGAAGGTGTTGTCAGTTCCTGAGTGTACAGAGAGACCTGTTGACATAGTTGAAGGTGTTGTTAGTTCCTGAGTGTACAGTGAGACCTGTTGATACTGTTGAAGGTGTTGTTAGTTCCTGAGTGTACAGTGAGACCTGTTAATACTGTTGAAGGTGTTGTTAGTTACTGAGTGTACAGTGAGACCTGTTGATACTGTTGAAGGTGTTGTCAGTTCCTGAGTGTACAGAGAGACCTGTTGATACTGTTGAAGGTGTTGTTAGTTCCTGAGTGTACAGTGAGACCTGTTGATACTGTTGAAGGTGTTGTTAGTTCCTGTGTGTACAGTGAGACCTGTTGATACTGTTGAAGGTGTTGTTAGTTCCTGAGTGTACAGTGAGACCTGTTGATACTGTTGAAGGTGTTGTCAGTTCCTGAGTGTACAGTGAGACCTGTTGACACTGTTGAAGTTGTTGTTAGTTCCTGAGTGTACAGTGAGACCTGTTGATACTGTTGAAGGTGTTGTTAGTTCCTGAGTGTACAGTGAGACCTGTTGAAGGTGTTGTTAGTTCCTAAATGTTGTACAGTGAGACCTGTTGACACAGTTGAAGATGTTGTTAGTTCCTGAGTGTACAGAGAGACCTGTTGATACTGTTGAAGGTGTTGTCAGTTCCTGAGTTTACAGAGAGACCTGTTGATACTGTTGAAGGTGTTGTTAGTTCCTGAGTGTACAGAGAGACCTGTTGACACTGTTGAAGGTGTTGTTAGTTCCTGAGTGTACAGAGAGACCTGTTGACACTGTTGAAGGTGTTGTTAGTTCCTGAGTGTACAGAGAGACCTGTTGACATAGTTGAAGGTGTTGTTAGTTCCTGAGTGTACAGTGAGACCTGTTGACACTGTTGAAGGTGTTGTTAGTTCCTGAGTGTACAGTGAGACCTGTTGACACTGTTGAAGGTGTTGTTAGTTCCTGAGTGTACAGAGAGACCTGTTGACATAGTTGAAGGTGTTGTTAGTTCCTGAGTGTACAGTGAGACCTGTTGACATAGTTGAAGGTGTTGTAAGTTCCTGAGTGTACAGTGAGACCTGTTGATACTGTTGAAGGTGTTGTTAGTTCCTGAGTGTACAGTGAGACCTGTTGAAGGTGTTGTTAGTTCCTGAGTGTACAGAGAGACCTGTTGACATAGTTGAAGGTGTTGTTAGTTCCTGAGTGTACAGTGAGACCTGTTGATACTGTTGAAGGTGTCGTTAGTTCCTGAGTGTACAGTGAAACCTGTTGACATAGTTGAAGGTGTTGTCAGTTCCTGAGTGTACAGAGAGACCTGTTGACATAGTTGAAGGTGTTGTTAGTTCCTGAGTGTACAGTGAGACCTGTTGATACTGTTGAAGGTGTTGTCAGTTCCTGAGTGTACAGAGAGACCTGTTGATACTGTTGAAGGTGTTGTTAGTTCCTGAGTGTACAGTGAGACCTGTTGACACTGTTGAAGGTGTTGTTAGTTCCTGAGTGTACAGTGAGACCTGTTGATACTGTTGAAGGTGTTGTTAGTTCCTGAGTGTACAGTGAGACCTGTTGATATTGTTGAAGGTGTTGTTAGTTCCTGAATGTACAGAGAGACCTGTTGATACTGTTGAAGGTGTTGTTAGTTCCTGAGTGTACAGTGAGACCTGTTGATACTGTTGAAGGTGTTGTTAGTTCCTGAATGTACAGTGAGACCTGTTGATACTGTTTAAGGTGTTGTTAGTTCCTGAGTGTACTGTGAGACCTGTTGACACTGTTGAAGGTGTTGTTAGTTCCTGAGTGTACAGTGAGACCTGTTGACACTGTTGAAGGTGTTGTTAGTTCCTGAGTGTACAGTGAGACCTGTTGATACTGTTGAAGGTGTTGTTAGTTCCTGAGTGAACAGTGAGACCTGTTGATACTGTTGAAGGTGTTGTCAGTTCCTGAGTGAACAGTGAGACCTGTTGATGCTGTTGAAGGTGTTGTTAGTTCCTGAGTGTACAGTGAGACCTGTTGATACTGTTGAAGGTGTTGTAAGTTCCTGAGTGTACAGTGAGACCTGTTGATACTGTTGAAGGTGTTGTTAGTTCCTGAGTGTACAGTGAGACCTGTTGATACTGTTGAAGGTGTTGTTAGTTCCTGAGTGTACAGTGAGACCTGTTGATACTGTTGAAGGTGTTGTAAGTTCCTGAGTGTACAGTGAGACCTGTTGATACTGTTGAAGGTGTTGTTAGTTCCTGAGTGTACAGTGAGACCTGTTGATATTGTTGAAGGTGTTGTTAGTTCCTGAGTGTACAGTGAGACCTGTTGATACTGTTGAAGGTGTTGTTAGTTCCTGAGTGTACAGTGAGACCTGTTGATACTGTTGAAGATGTTGTTAGTTCCTGAGTGTGCAGTGAGACCTGTTGTGTTGTTAGTTCCTGAACCTCCATTTTTGTGTTTGCAGCTCAAGGCCGGATCGACTTTGCCTCCTTCCTGGACGTGATGCATGAGCACAGTGAGGTGGAGAACTGTGAGAAGGAGATGCTGCAGGGATTCCGAGCACAGGATGAAGGCAAGAGGGGAACCGTGTCTGCCACAGAAATGAGGCATATCCTCATGAGCATGGGAGAAAAGCTGAGCAGGAATGAAGGTTTGTTGTTTTTTATTTGCTTGTTGTGTAACTCAGCAACATTCCTGGTATATGACATATATATAAATGTTAGTTTCTGTCAGTGCCGGGTAAAATAATGTGCAATCAACCAAGTCTTTGAGCCTGACCACCAATCCATTTGGTCTCCTTTTATGACCCACACAGGATTATGGGGACCTATTCTAACCCTGTATGCCCAGGGTAAGGAGGTTTGTAAATCGCTAATTCTTCCATGACACTGAAGAATTCTTGATTCTGCTTGATTTCAATTAGATAACTCAAAATTATCATGTCTTTTCACACAAAGATCTGGCTTATGAAAACATTGATCTATTGATAGCCTACGCATCAATACATATGGCAATAGCTGCAGATCAGATATCAGATGTGTTGAATCAATTTCAGAACAAAGATAATTAAGTAAAACTCACCCAAACTACTGTTCAGGGCCACACAATCTGGGTTCACGAAAATAAGCTGTGTCTCAGACTATCTGAGTCTCTCTCGTGTCATACAATGCCATCTTGTCGTTATCTAAAAGGCAGTATTCAGCCAGGGGTGGTTCTGTTGGCGCTGAGGCTGTGCCAGCAGGCTCAGTTCCATGAGCAAATCATCACATTAAAAGTGAACATGATTATACCTTGGAATGGGCTCTGGGTTAATGCAAAAAATCAACTATTTTGGCAGCCAAGGACAGTGAAGAGTAACGAAAGATAGGAAGTTCAGCCATGTGGGGGTGCTCATAAAGTCACTCTGAATATGTGTTATTGTTGCTGGAGAGTTATTTAATACCATCTGGTATAAAGCTACAAAATAACTACGACACCGTGATGCAATTTATTTGAGAAACAAATTAGTTCAGCTTCTTCTGTCACTATTTCCCAAACATGTCATTCAAACAATGGAAGATCTCATATTGATATATCCAAAGAATGACTTGGTTGAGTCAAAATAGGCAACATGGAGGGTTATTTTATCAATTCTGTTTGACAAACTTTGTATTTTGTAACCATCATTTTCAACAAAAATATGAACTCGTACTTAATCTTTAACTTGAGTAATATTTTGTGTTTTTTCACTATCTGTGATCTCTTTTCGGCACCTTGGCTCATGTGTAGGTATAAAGCTAAAGTGACCCGTCCCAAATTAACATAAGAGGAATATAATCTACAGTTAGACTACCTCAAATGAGATGAATATGTTTTTAAGTGTCTCAAAAGAAACCTGAAAAGGGTTTTGATTATCACTCATTTTCATTTTAAACACATTATTTTGAACATACAGAAATGAACTCTTAATACATTTCAGTAAGATGCCTTACTTGTCTCCCTCTGAGATCATTACATTACAAAGTAACCTCATTAAGTTTGTCGGTTCAAATAGTTATATTAGCTCAAGAATCAGCTTAGAGAATCATTAAATGCACACTGCAAATATCAAAAAGAAATTACACATGATTTTTTAGTCCATATGGACCATTATAACATATAACTTGTAAAGACAAACAGAAAGGTTAGATTGGACAACACGTTAATATCTCTTTGCATATAAGGAGAGAGATGTCAGCATTCAGCAATCAGACTTTTTTTCCACTTTGAAAGTTATTTTTGGGAGAATGATCCAAAGTAGCTTCTTTGCCTTCCGTTATTTGGGGTTACAAACTCCTTGCAATGTCATTTAAAGACAGTTCAACTGAAATGAGCCTGATGCAATAGCAAAACGTTGTTCAGTCGCTCCGGAGTCGTTAGATCTGAGATATGACTTTGGATGTATCAGTGATGAAAAGTATCTCTATTGATCTCTGTGAGCATCCATTTGATGAATGGTGAAGAGTTCGGGGTAACGATGATTGAGTCAATAAGTCTCACCTCCTTGATGACGTATCCTTTGTCAGCTGACATATTGCAAATATAAGGTTTGTGTGAGCACTTGTGATGTGCTTCATTCCAGGTCACCTTAAACACGGAGTATTGGATTTTGGGTCGATTTTGAAGGCGTGTACAGGGGGGTCATCTTATACATGGGTCACTTTATACACAGCGATACGTGGTAGACATTTTAGTTTCATGGAGCATCGTGAGCTGTGTGTCCAAATGGGGGAAGTCAAAATCTTCTCTGTAAAGCTCTCTGAAATCCCTTGATATTTGAGTTCTTCAACAGAATTAATTCTGTGAAGTTCTGAACCATCATCTAATCTAAACCATTCTGTACTCTGTGAAATTGTGTGACCTCAGTTGTGCATAGTATTGTAATACTTGCTGAGCAGCTTGTTTTGCATGCTGAGCAATTGTGTGCACACTCTGAATGGAGGCTGATAGTTGTTCAGATGCAGCAAACACCTGAGAGGCAACTTTCAGTCCAAAGTATGTACTGAACTGTTCAAACTGATCCATCAGACCACCTGCAGTTCTTGCATATTCATCATGCCCCTCTTGTTAATATCACTAAGGATGTCTGAAGAACATCTGAGTTGAAAGACCCTGTCCTGACAGTCCATCGTGTACAATAAAGAGGCCTTAGACCAAGTGCAGTGTGGGTCTTTTCAAGATCAAGGTTTCTCTTTTGCAGGACCTTTTTGGAGATTCTGAAAGAGGTGCTCTCTCACTTTGGGGAATATTTGATTAATTTTATAATCTCCATTATGACATCAAGAGCATCCCTCAAAGGCTTGCAGGTTCTGCCCTGATGCTTGCGTTTCAAGGATAAGGCAATGAGCAAGGCAATGTATGTGAATTAATATGAATACATAAAATAAATACCTTTTCAATGTGATATTTCTTTTTAAAATGACATTGTAAGACTTTTTGAATCTTTGGTCTGCATGTTTCGTTCGGTTAAGGGCGGACATTGTTTGTATACTTCACACAGCTGGTTGCCACACTTCCTTATTCATTTTGCAATCTGATTTTTGATCAAACTCCCAAACAATGCCTCAGTAAATTTTAGTATTTGTCACTACCAACTGGTTTAAAACTGTACCTGATGTAAGTTTATAAAAAGTATGTTATGAAATTCACACATTGGTGACATCATGGACTCTAAAGCTTCAAAGTCATAATTTTGGTCTCTAAGGACGCTGCACTATCGCTTCCAGTCAGTGTTCATTATCACAGCATTGGTAAAAATCGAACAGGTAATGTATGAAATTATTGTCGATTCTCATAAATAAATACGCTTTTATTTTTCTTGGATATATTTGCATAAGAAGGAAATTATTTTATCATGCTTCACACTACTTCAAAAGATGGGGTGGGGGCAGTTTGGTTCCTTCATCTATGAACAGCATTACCATATTTGTGACGATTTGAATAAAGGGGAAAGGGGTGACTAAATGGATCTAAATGGTGGTCAGGCTCGGTGATGTGTTGATTGTATGTCATTGTAACCTAATTGCCTGGATCAATGCTCATGATGTCATTCACTGGAAGGTCCAGAGTCGTTTATTTATAGATCACCATCATATAGCTGGAATATTGCTGAGTGCAGCATTAAACAAAAAGCAAACAAATATTGCCTAACAGTTTACATTTATGAAATGCACAGAAGCACTGTGACCATGGTAACTAACTGTAGGCGGAGACCAACATGGCTTCCCTGTACTCTCCTAACCTGGCTGATGCATGGGCAAGACGAGGTGCAGCAGCTGTTGCACAGTCACTGCGCTGTTGGGATTTGAGACCTAGCTGTGGTAGACATCTTGGTCAAACTTATGTAGGCTATTCAACAATATCATTGCGCCTCCCGAAACACAATGGACAACACATTGCAGTCTGGAGATGGATGTAGAGATTAATGGTTTATTGTGTGTATTTGCAGTGGACAGCCTCTTCCAGGAGAATGGCTTGAACCCACGCGGTGAGGTGCAGTACCAGCAGTTTGTAGATGCTATAATAACACCATCACCGGACTACTAGACTTCTTCACAGCAGCTGTGGCAGCCATGGCCACTTTAGTAGCAGATTGTCTGTTTTTTGAAATCACAAGAAAGACCTCTGAAGGGGACTAACATGAACAGTGATCATTCAGAGATGATTCATTGCAGCTTATCCTGGCTTACATTCCACAGTGTGGCATCACTTGATCAATCCATAGATAAAGGTTGTGAACATTTATCATTGTATTTCAAACACAACATTGAAGTTTCTTATGTCTGGTTCTACATAAGTCCACTGTATATTGATCATGATAATAGTTAGGGTGCAGGTCCACATCTAGGGTGGAGGGTCGACGTCAAACTGTGTGTAATTCATTAACATCGTTCCATTAAACAGCATAGCTAAATCTATGTAGTGTATGATAAGTGTCCTCATCTTATGTGATGTATCTTCATTAAATCTATCAATCTATGCAATGCCAGAATTGATTTGACTTGTTTTTGCTATAGCTAATCAACTGCATCAGAGGTTGCACTAGTTACCAGGACTTCAGCTAATCAGCTGCATCAGAGGTTGTACTAGTTACCAGGACTACAGCTAATCAGCGGCATCAGAGGTTGCACTAGTTACCAGGACTACAGCTAATCAGCTGCATCAGAGGTTGCACTAGTTACCAGGACTACAGCTAGTCAGCTGCATCAGAGGTTGTACTTGTTACCAGGACTACAGCTAATTAGCTGCATCAGAGGTTGCACTAGTTACCAGGACTACAGCTAATCAGCTGCATCAGAGGTTGCACTAGTTACCAGGACTACAGCTAATCAGCTGCATCTGCTACTTTTCAACAAGCATGGAATATTCATCACCAGTTGGTCGATGTGTGATAGCACAGAATTTGATCTTCATCTTCGTCAAGAAGACTGTACATCTCATTGCCTCCTCAGAAAAGAGGAGATGCAAAATACATCTGCTTTTTATGAATTGATGAGTTGATGCACAGACAGTACCTATGGCACAACAGATTCATAATGTAGGATTACACCACTCAAAGGCATTGGATATTGGATATTGCTTGGCAGAGAGTTCTGGTAGTAAAGACAGAGGATGTTCAAAGAGTTCAAAGCCACAGTCAACAAAGACAACCAACTTGTGCCCTGTGCATTATCCTGGTGGAATAACACATCTTTAGTTAGTTTTCTACAACATTTAGCCTTGATGTTCTCACACAGTTGCAAAATATTGCCCAGTAATGGTCTGACCTTTTTGAGAGGAAGTTCATTAGTAGGATTCCTTTGGAATCCTAGAAAACCAAAGCCATCACCTTGCCACTTTTGTTATATACATTAGATGTTTCCACTGCTTTCCCTGTCGCTAAGTCTCTGGCTGATAGCAGTTTTCTTCCCTAGCCACGGTCGTTAACTGCTTTTAAAAGTCCAGTTTCCACCCTTGCCGAACTACGCTGGAATGCCGGAGTTACATTTTTGATGGACTATTGAGTCTGTGCATAATCCATTCAAAATCGTGTGATAAACTAGACATCCAGTTTGTAAAAAACAGGGATTTCAACGTGCCGATTTCAGTCAAATGCAGGTTTTACAAAGCATACTGGGTGTCAGCATCTACTTTGCAAATCTTTTCATTATTTTAATCAAGGTGTTCAAGTAATGTTATGCACTTCATGAGGTAAGACCCGTGTTATCATAATGTAGATCTTGATTATCCATCAGATCGTCTTGACTGAGCGCAGCCATTTTGTTTGAAGCAAATGCAAGTGATATGAGAGGTGGAATCTGATTGGTCAATAGGAGGGACTTAGAAGGGACATAACTCACAATAGCCACTGGTGGTGTTACGATCGAGCCTGGAAGTTCCAGCCTAGTTCGGCAAGGGTGGAAACCTTACTTTTATAGTTAGTTAATGCCCTTGCCTCGGGAAAATGGATAGTGGTCAGCCAAAGAATAATCCATGGTTACAAATGACTCAAAACAACATCAGCTGGGTCTGCTTCAAACCGACATAAATTCTCTCTCTCTCTCTCTCTCTCTCTCTCGAGAGAGAGAGAGAGAGAGAGAGAGAGAGAGTATTGTTTTACGCCACTTTTAGAAATATTCCAGCAATATCACAGCGGGGGACACCAGAAATGGGCTTCACACATTGTACCCATGTCGGGAATCGAACCCGGGTCTTCGGCGTGACGAGCGAACGCTTTAACCACTAGGCTACCCGACCGCCCCCCTCACGAGATGAATCCAGAGAGTTTCTGATTTGTCTGATCAGTTTTAAGTCCAGTGTGCTGAAACCTGTATCATGCCTAGTTCATTCCTTGAAAAGGTTCTCAAATCTCTCATAGAGATGCCTACTGTTTGGGGCTGTGTAACATGTGGTGTGTCGTCGATCATTCATAAGCATTTGATGTTTTATATCAACTGTTTCCTTAGGGGTTGAAGTTGATCTTAGTCTTCCTGATCTTGGATCATCTTCTCGGCTCTCTATTCACCTCTTGAATAGTGGCACAGGATGGAACATCATCCCCTCAAGTTGACACACTGTCCGCAACGATACCTAATCACTTTTATTTGATGCCTGTACAAATATGCTTCCTGGTTGTGTATTTGGTTCAAATGTATTGTACTTAATATATGCAAACTGTTAAGGGTGTACTATTCATCATTCATAGTTAGGCTCAAAACTATTCATCCCCTCTTCATACTTTCTCTACTCATTTGCTTAATAAACACGACAGTTATTTACTCTCCGGATAATTAATACAGTTTGTACAAATACAAATGTGTATATTAAAATTAAGTAATTACCTTTATGTGATATGATGATGTCAACCCAGTCCCGAGTGATATGTCTGTGTCACCACTGTTGAAGGGCATGACAAAGGTCATCTTCCTAAGGTAAAGTTCAGTTGAACTAGGCTGGAATTTCTGAGTTATATTTCAGCTGGCCCAATGAGGCTATGCAGAGTCCAATCAAAATCGCGCAACGGAATTAACATCTGGTTTGTAAACAACATGATGACAGATATTGGTCTATAGCAGGATTTGCAAAGCATGTGTATTTTACAACTAGTCATCGACAGATATTTTCCAAATCTTTTCATGTGTGCACCTCAACTTGCTCAAGTGATTTAATGCACTTCGTGAGGTAAGGCCGTGATTGTCAATCAGATCGTTTGACTGTGTGCATCCATTTTGTTTCAAGAAATGCAAGTGATATGTGAGTTGGAGTTGGATTGATCAACAGGAGGGACATATCTAGTAAAAACTACTGGTGGCTCTACGATTGAGCCACTAAATTCTAGCCTTGTTCGGCAAGGATGGAAACTGGACTTTTATAGTTCGTTAACTCCCTTACCTCAGGAAGATCGACAAAGTAAGTACATACAACCTTCCTCAAAAAGTAGAAAATTAAAACAAAATCTATTTAGATGGTTTCGTGAATATTTAATGAAAACCAACAAACTCTTCCCCAGATCACAGTTGTCATAAATATACAGGATTTTATACCTCAGGATATGATGATGTGTATTCTGTCCAAGACTTCATTCAACAGTTCAGGTAAACAGCTCAAACCGAACAGCCGGGATTGAAGGATTTTTCATCATTTTTAGTATTCTTTGAAGGATTACATGCTGTGCTATGTACACTGTTCGAACTGTCCTTTGTAAAACATGCATCTATTCACAGTCATTCAGCTATCTGCCACACAAAAATAACAAGTGCACATCAGTTTCCACGTACAAAGTTGACAGATGATGACACGGCCTTCTTGCTGTACTCCCCGGCTGTGTCTGGGGCTGATGACACATAGTAGAACACAGTCTTCACCCCTGCAATATACAGTGTAAATCAATAACAAGTCATAGTGAGTGAGTATGGTTTTACACCACTTTAAGCGATATTCAAGCAACATCATGGCGGGGGACACCAGATATACGCTTCACACACTGTACCCATGTAGGGAATGGTAACCAACCCAACCTCCCCAACAAAGTCACACAGTACACATTCTTGTTTAGTCCTATGCAACTGTCTGCTTGTTAATACAGACAAGTTAAGCTGCACTGGTGTCGACAGGATGAGATACTATACAGAGAAGGGCCCTATCTGAACCCACATATATACATAAACTGCAAAATATTTTCATGGAAGTCATATGACTAACAACTAGCTCCTGTCTTACCTGCACAATTTGGCCATATGACATAATCTAGTATAAATGAATGGCTTAAATGGGTGAAAAAGGAAATACCGCAAATGTAGCTGACCAAGTTGGTGACCCACTTTGAATTTTCAACTGTATATTTGTAATAACTTTACCAAAATCTCCTTTGAAAATTAGCTTGGGTAAAAACATTGCTCATGTTCAAATAATAGGAACATTTCAGTAAAATTTATTTACGTTTACTGACATATGGCAAGAATAATATTTGTATTAGTTTGTATTAGTCCAGAGTACTAGTTGCCTATATTTTCAGATCAAAACCAATAGGAAATGTTTAAATCATTTAAATTAATTTCAAAGAGTTTTGCTCATTCCTGAATACTGCAGATCAAGGGAGCAGCAAAGGGTTCTCATTGTACATTGTCCTTTGATTGTGTCCAGTCATTATCTCTACTTCATTAATTAAGTTTAGTTACATGCTGTTTATCAATTTGCACCTGCCACAACGCTGTACAAGTGTATCTTCTGCGGTGTTTGCCTTAGGGAGAGGGGGGATGAAATTTGTGTTACTGAGTCGAGTTCACTCAGCGCACACTGCACAGATCAAACAGTATACTGCATGTGATATACACTATATTGAACTTAATATACTGCATGTTATACTAGGGCTGGCGTTGATGTGAAGAAATATAAACGATTATCGATATGAAAATTATGTCATCAATAATATCTTGCATAAACTAGTGTGATGAAATAAAGTTTAAATTTACCAAAGCAACTTGTAAATTGTAAATTGCCAAAGACAGGAAGCAACTGATTTTGTTATATCTTACATGTCCACAAAGTAATCCATGCATAAATGTGACACCACTCACTAGTGATGTGAAATATGTTGTTTTTTCTCAGCTTTTAGCATATTTGCTCAAAGTTACTTCTCCTATATTTATAAATAATTGATAATAATTGATTATTATCAGTCACTAAGATCTGTATGGATGGCCAGCTTAATAATTATTCGGGTGGTCAAAACAACCAAACAATCAACACAATTATCCATAATTAAAAACAAATGATTTTGATTGGATTCTCTAAAGTTATGTGAAGAAAGTGACAAAAAAAGGGCATTTGTAACTTTTTAGTTTTCATATCAAACAGAACCTGTGATTGAATTTATTTTCTAAAAAGGTTCATTCACTACTTACAGTTAGTTGCATACAACTACATCACAAAACATTAACATCTACCATGACAACAATCGTCTACAAATCGGGCTTGACTGGCCTTTCTACTAGTACCAGGACTTACAGGAGAGAAGATGATCCCATGGGTATGGAACACACCTGTGTATCTATCTGTCTGTGGTCAAGGGACAGATAGACGTGAAATCCATCAGCCACCCTGCCGCATAGCGACATCACATGTGGGCCAGGGCCCCAGCAATGGCGTGATGGCTCTTTTGTTTGCAGGTTTTCCTGTACTTGTTTATACACAGATGGCAGTTATGCAAAACAAAGACTGTGCAGACCTTTCACCCTTCGAACCCTACATGAACATATATAACATACACAGGTGACGACCGAACTAAAAGTTATTATATGTCTAAAGTATATTACTGTCCATACTCGTCACGATATGGCTGAAATATTGCTGATGTGACGTTAATTATTAACTCACTACTGTCCATACGTACCAAAGAGAGGCAAGCTTACCTGAGTTCCAGCCACTTAACACTGTGTTGTTGACATCATCTAAAGACGGAATCTGAAAGTAGAGAAGATAATAAATTATCACAGAAGATATTGTTGATTCTTTCTGTTTCAAATAAATTTTCAATTTTGTATCATAGTTACCATCCATACTTGAAGAGAATCAACATTTGGAAGCATGAGTGTTGCATGTTTATGATGGTGATGTCACCTACCTGTTTAGCGTAGTCACTGGCAGCAGGCAGGACAGATCCCTTCACCTTCTCCAGGGCCTGACTGCCATTGCTGCTGTTGCTCCACACACCCTGGTCAATGGTCACATACACAGCACCAGCACCAATTGCAAGCTTGCTGGCTAGCCTGTAACAATACATTAATTACTAAATTTTAATAAAATTTAATCTTTTCTCAGGAAAATAATAATCAGGATCAAATTATAATGATTGTGTTACTTTCATTTTGTATGTTTAATGGTTGCCGACTGTTCTGGAGCTTTGTTTGCAAACAATAGCCGATAAGCTCAATCTCATTTGGCTTTGGTCCCCTTATTCCACGAGAGATGTTTCTGTTCCAGTGACCAGAGCTGGAGTGTGGGCTTATCACGTGACCACACAGTTCTCTTGTTTGCAAACAAAAACAATTCTAAAATAATAACATACAGGCCAAAATTATTATAGCCTGTCAGTCTGCTTTACATATCATGATCCATAATGACATAGATATGCTAATACAACTAGACAGTGAGGTGCATGACAAAAAAGCTTTACACATCCATGCACGTCATCGATCCCAATTGAGTGGATCGATGCTCATGATATCAATCACTGGATGGCCTGGTCCAGACTCGATTATTTATAGACCGCTGTCATATACAGTGCTGTGCCAGTTATATTCGTATGATCCATAACGGTTTATAACCGTCAAATATTTTACAAGCACAAAAATGTTTCGCATAGCATCAATAATGCTTGGAACCATGTTAAATTTGACATGACGTCACTTTGATCACGTGACCGTCATGTGATGTCCTTCAAAGTGTCGTCTGTTGTTTTGATCAAAACATACGATAATCAGTGCAAACATGGGGAGAAAATCTAAGAAATTGAGTGGTGATGTGAAAAGAATAGTGTTAAAGTTAAAAGAAGAGGGAAAAGTTATCAAGCGATTACTGACCTGTTGGGGGTTCCCAAGTCTACTTTGGGTAGTATTTTTGCTAAAGTTCAGCGAACGGGTTCGGTAGAAAACATCCCGAGACAAGCTAGACAAAAGAAGTTGTCAGACAGAGATCGCATCGCGCTGTTCAGACTCGTTAAAAATAATAGACAGAGACCTTTGAAGGACATCACTGGTAGTTTCAATTCAGTGAGAGACCAACCTGTCTCGAAAAGAACAATTCAAAGGGAATTACACCGAGAAGGATTTTACAGGCACATCACGAAAACAAAGATGGTTGTTAGGGGGGTGAACAAAAGAAAACGTGTCTTGTGGTGTCGGGAGTATGAGGAAAAAAAACTGTTAATGATTTTTTGAAAAATGTAAACTTTACTGATGAGAGTCAGTTGGTTATTGGAAATAATAATCGTGTATACATTTGGAGAAAGGAAAATGAAGCCGATCGACCCGAGTGCGTGTGTCCCCCTCGAACCAGGAAGTTGAGTTCGATGGTGTAGGGGAGTATCGGTTATCATGGTGTGGGGACTTTGGTGCGTGTAAATGGTAACATCAATGCCCAGAAATACATAGAAATTGTGGACAATAATTTGTGGCCAGTAATTTGTAGACATTTTCCAGACAATAACTATATATTTCAAGATGACAATGTGCCAGTTCCAAAGGCAAATATTGTGAAAAAATTCATTGCCGACAATGCCATAAACACGATGGATTGGCCAGCACAATCACACGATTTAAATGTTATAGAAAATGTTTGGCTAAAACTAAAGAAAAAACTACAGGACACCTCAAACGACATCACTAACCAAGATCAGGTCCCCGTTCCTCAAAGCGATCTTAGCGCTACAATGATCGTAAACCTATGTTAAAATATGGGACTTACGATCACCTTAGTGCTAAGATCGCTTTGAAAGCGATCCATATCACTTGGCAGGACATTGAGCTAGACTTTATTCGTGGCCTTTATGAATCTATTCCACGCCGGATATCTAAAGTTCTGACTATGAAAGGGCATCTTACCAAGTATAAAGGTATGTAGATAATTTTTTCAATAATAAATGACGCTCTTTTAAAGCGAGTCGATATGTAAACAAACGGCGGCCATTTTGGATCGTACGAATATAACTGGCACGGCACTGTAGCTCGAATATTGCCGAGTGCGGCGTAAAACAACCAACCAACCAACACATCCAAGTGACCGATCCGTAGGGCTTCCATGACCGGACGTGGAGCCGTAAACCAATGTAAACAAAGGAAAAATGTGCAAATATCACTTTTTATATACTTTCCCTCTGAGATCTGTTGCCTAACAGCTCATAATATTAAAAATTTCCACACACAATCAAACACAACATAGGCGATCCGGCTCTCATCTGCAGCAGCATGGTTTCTATGCTGTTTACGATTGTAAGTTGTGGTTAGGCACGTTTTGCTTATGATACATTGCCTGATTAGTTGTTCTTAATAACTGACTCAAACAGTGCTGCAAACCTAACTACAATAACTAAAGTACACATAATCAGAACAGAACTCACTTCACCAAGGTCGTCGCCATTTTGGGAGCAAACACTATTTCCCAATACCAAACGTTCGCAGTTACTCGACATACTGTATCCATCTATTACTGTTGGTAGTAAGTGTTGTTGATTGTGTATAACTATATCTGGTCCTGATGTCAGTGTTATCCTTATTGAAATAGTCGCATATTACCAAATACTGAAATCGATACATGTGTAAAATAAATAGGGAACTATAGATAGTTGTGGACATTATACTATCTGTGTTAAACTGGTGCCATTGGTTCGCCCCGGCACACCTTATGCTTTTACCCATAGACGGGAACCCAGTGTATATCGATGTCGCGGCTCGTGTAATATTAAGCTGGGTCCCGTCTCTGATATCACAATATACAAGTTGACGACGTGCTTAGTGTGTCGGGAACCAGCTTAGTGTAATATGAGCTGGTTCCCAACTCCCTTAGACTGGTTCCCGTGCGTTCCTGCGAAGAATGATGCACTTCATTCGTGACAACTCGTGTTATTCCGGGACAAGCCGAATAGAGATAAACCATTAGCTCAGATAGTTACTGTGTATCTTAATTGGACAAGACACGCACCTGTTTGACATAAATTTTACGTAATCAAATACCCTAAAAAATATTTCGAAACAAACAAAATTATCTTCAATATTGGACATGTCTTTGTTCATTATTGTGTGACTATTTCTCTTTATCTCGTCTCAGAATGATACAATAAAAGGATTCAATAATAAAAGGTACAGAATTATCAGGATAATCGTATTAGGTTTGACCATCGGGGTATATGTCACGGTTCATATGTTTTATACTTTTTACAATTCTTTGAGAAAATAAAATAAAGAATTGAAAGCACGAGAGGAATAAATCGTAAATCGTTTGTGACTAACGCGCACCTGGCGAATCTTTAGACATAACCGTTCTGTCTATCAAACGACATATAAAAAAAAAACCAAGGCAATTCTTCTAAAAATCTGTGCATATATTTTAACAAAAAAGTATTACTCGTCTTGTTAAATTAATGTATTAAGTTTCAGTTTTAAAAGAAAGTGAAACGGCTATTCATTAACCTGTTTATATGAAATAACAATATTGACTATGATACTCCAAAGGAATAAGTACATGTTACAGTTACATTTCATCTCCTAAAGGAAAGAAATATCGAATACGACACTAAACAATGCTCAAACAAACAGTAGATTATCAAATGTTCATACATTTTGTGGCCTATATCTACGTATATCATACTGAACATTGATAATATCCATGGTGAAATTAATTATGTGTTACAATGTATAAAATATATGCAAAATCTACAGCACAAGGACCTTCACCTCAAAGAAATTACCAAATATGTACAACAAAGTTGACGTATAACATCACTACCGGTGACCGACATTTACAAAATGGCGTATATTCAGTGTAAACAGTACGCGGGATTTTTAGTCAAGGACCAACCTGTAGGTCCCGTGACCAAATCATGGAAACAAAGGTTTGAATGTGTTTTTGAGTTTCCTGATGTATACTGAACAATTTTGACTTGGGCTGCCCCCTTGAAAATCCCGGGCATTTCGGGGAGGGGTCAACAAAGGTCAAACAGGGGTCAAAATTTAAATATGATGTAATTGTGTCGATATGCATATCAAATTACTCGTCCAGTCATAAGGAACCTAGAAATATATAGTTTGTTATACTTCCGACCTTAAATGGGGGAACTATGGCCAAAAACGTTGAAAGGTCAGCACACTTTTTGCAGTCGGTGAAATTCACAAACACAGTTAACATTGTCCGATTTTCATGATTGTAGTGTCTATTAATATGTTTTCTGACATGACAAATTCAACCAAGCAACTTTTAAAAGTAAAAAGGGTTACCTAGACCTTGAAAATTGAAAATGGTTGCCAAAAGAGCTGCACGAAGAATTGTCATGCTTCAGCAAAGTCATTGGAAACAGGATCCTTGGCCAATAACGCAGCATATTTCAGAATCCATTGTCCAGTAATGCTTTTCTAACCTTACTTTAGTGCACAGTTCATCATCCTACTCTGTGTCATACCCATCAGATGCAGAGTCAGAATCACTGTCACAATCACTAGTATCTGAATCTGTGTCCGATTCTACAGAGCAGTTTGCTCTGGCATCACTCAGATGTTCAGGCAGTGCTGGCTGTGAATACCGTATTGGCAAACATTTGCCCTCTCTTAAGCTCCAACCATGCTGTATTGGAGATGATGGGGCAGCTGGGTTCATAAAGTTCAACATGATGAATGCCTGATAGTTGGCTCTGGTTACTTTCAGATTATGCGAATCTCTATCAGGAGGAATCCTGAGAGTTGATTTCCTCTTCACCCCCTCCCACCTTTTGGCCCTAGCTTCTGCGAGTGTCTTGCTTGTTCTATCCTTATATACATATTTGATCGTAAACTGCTCCATGTCTTTGTGAATTTGTGCTGGATAAAAATGACCATGAACAAATGTTCGAAGATGAAAGCAGAAAGCGCATCTTAAAAAATGAGAAGATGTTGTTGACTCACACAAGAACCGTCAACTCTGTGTATAGAGTAAGAAGTTCCCTACATGCATTGGCAAACCTCACTGAATCTTCCGAAGGTCACAAGGAGAACTCCACAACGAGGTTGTTGCTGGATGAGCGCGGGGTACAAGACTTAGACAATTGAATCACAGACCCGTTCGACCTTACCAAGCCAATCTTGAGGTCACTCCAGTCAGGAATGGTAGCATCAGATGCACTTGTCAAAGATGTTGAAACAGCACACGAGGGTTGGGAGACTCCAGTGCAATCATTCTTTAAAGAGCGAATGTTCTCTGATGACAAACAGTTTCATACAACCATTCACAGAAACAGCAGACACAGCTTCAGCAAACCGCCAGTTGCCAAAGACGCATCAAAACAGAGGGTAACAAAAACGGATGCATTGGAAAACAAAGCCATGGCCGAGATCATCACTTTGGCACAGGAGTTAGATGATGGTTTTGTGCTATCTGAAATTATGGAGTACCGCATGACAGAAGAGTGTCTCCCGATCTTCAATATAAATGGAACAAAACGGAAAGGGTAAAAATCAAAATTGACTGAGAAGTTCAACTTTCTTCAACTGGACTTACCAAGACATGGGATTCATTTGGAGGCTGTCAACCCAATCTGCCGAGGATAGGGAGAAGCAAGATGAAAGTTCTTATACATGGGGAGATTATGCCGCCAAAATGTTAAACCTTGTTGTCCAATGCCATCCTAAGGCTTCCCAGGTTATATAGCAATGACCCATAGTATCTATGATATGATATGGTCACAGGTTGGTCTTCTAGTATTTACGAGGGGACTTTCGTTGATACAGGAACCATATATATATATATATATATATATATATATATATATATATATATATATATGTATGTATGTATGTATGTATGTATGTATGTGTGTGTGACATGTAAGTTATCAGAAACATTCAGACAATCTGTGTACTGTTAATTGGTTTTATGTTTTTCACTGAAGCCAAGAGAAATAGTCCGTTTTGCGTCATTCATGGCGTCACATTGGACGGAATCTCTGACAATTTGTTGAATTTACCAAATCATTGCAATGTATCTTTTTTTAATTTCTTAATTCCTGCTACGACTCTCTCTCCATGCATATTCTGAAAATGTTGAGCCAGTGTATGCAACGAATAGACGACGGATAGCTCAAAATAGGAGAAAATGCCACAGTGTAAAATATGAATTTTGCTTTGTTTACATTTCAAACAAGTGCACTTTTCCGACCGCAGCGTTCGTTTTCACACCTAATTTATATTGCATGGTTTCATCTAGACTACTTTTTAAAGTGACAAAGACCATTTGTCATTTGATTCTAAGATGTGTGAGGAATTCAAGGATGTATGTATCACGTATTAGTTTGAAAATATACTCTTAAAAAAAAGAAACGCAAAGCCAGACTGTGTGAGGTAAGAATACATTTATACGAGGAACCGAACAAGGCATTGAGCCACAATGTTGTGGAGAGAACACTTGGTGATTGTAGTCATCTCAGTCAGGAAAAGTCCAAGGTGAGGCTCATCTACCATCAATAACGCGTATGTCCCCCGTTGGAATCGATAGGGGCCTGACATCTCCTGCCCATTGAAAGGACGAGTATGCGAATCACATCCTGGGGAATGGTAGCCCACTCGGACTGCAACGCAAAAGCCAACTGCTACAACGTCTGGGGTGGTGGTTGACGTCTATCCAATTCATCCCATATGTGCTCTTTCGCGTTCAAATCCTGGGATCTGGAGGGCCTGGGGAGAACATCAACGTTGTTGTTGTGTAGACAGGCTCTTGTGATGCGGTCGAACGTTGTCCAGCTGGAATAAGCCGTTGGCTGTAATTGGGAGGTTGGTGAATTTCGTTGATGTATCAGTAAGATTGCCCTGGATATGGACTAAACCTGTCCTGACATGATGAGAGATAGCGGCCTACATCATAACGTTACCCCACCAAACCTGTCCACTTCCTGTATGCAGTTTCCGGCGTAACCTTCTCCCCGACGCATGTAGACCCGTGCTCTACCATCCCACCGACGGAGGAGAAATCTTGATTCGTCGCTGAACCAGACATCTCTCCATTGCAATTGAGGCCATTCCCTGTGTTGACGACACAAATGCAGTCGTTGTTGACGATGTTATCGACTCAATATGACGCTTCGAACAGGACGTCTTGCTCGTAGACCTGCTGCTCTTAAACGGTCTAGTCGGAGATTCTGCACAGTCCAGGTATTTGGGATGCGGTTTGGGTGGTTGTGGTCGTCCTTTCACGTATGTAGCGCAGTCGGATGTAGCGAACTTGGGCGGGGGTGGTTACTCTTGGTCGGCCCGACCTTGGCCGATCACGTGTTGACCCACGCTGTTCAAAGCGATCCCATAGCCTTGTGATGGTGCTGGGCGCTACATTGAAAACCCTGGCTACAGCTGATCGGGATTCTCCTTCTTGCAAGCGGCCCATGACGTTGTTTCCATGCGCTTCTGTTATTATTGGCATGTTGTTTGACTGTCACTGTTCGATTGACGCAGATGCCAGACAGTAAAAGATCCTGCACTTTAATACCGTTCATAGTACAGTGCGAGAAGCTCCATGGCCCGTTTGTTAATGCACTGGCA